GGACGTTTTTTTTTGTTAAACCTCCCAGTCGCATAGGTCAGATGTACATCCCCACACATTCTTGTGACCTGAATGACTTTTTTGCGAGATTGACTTGTTCTCATTGAAAGCATACGCTCTCGGAGGAATGCGGTGCTGGCTGGAGCTGATGTAAACACGTCGTGTACGTTAATGTCCTCGCGGCCAAACTTCTCGACCAAATCCACCTTTCCTGTCTCCATGCCTGTAAAAAATTCAAGTTCTGAATTTGCTAGACATTGATGCGATACCAATCTTTTTTGAGGTTTCAAAGTAATGGACCAATTAAAATAGAGATCCACTCATATGTTTCAAAGTTGGGCCGAGAAGAAAAACTTTGATGTATTTGTGGCCGCCAGTGATAAATATCCTTCGCCATGCGCCTCAATTTTTTTCATCTCTGACCACACACGCCGCAAGAAGCAAACGGGCCACTGCGTCTTGCTCAATTCAACAACGCTTCTTCATTGGTGAAGGTCCACATAGCTTGCATTTTGGTCTGCTCTTACCTCACCGCGATGCACAGCCCAGCACTCTACACCACCGCCCTGGTACAACTTAATCGCCGCCGACAATGCTCTGTTACAGCAAAAATATGAATTAATATCCCTCTACTTACGATTCATTGCTCATCAAAGACCTTTGTTTTTCAAGTTAACTTGGATCTCGATAGTTTTCATTTTGTAATCCGATTTGAATTAACTGGTTATGTTTTTCTCCATACATACTGTCGAGTTCGAAATTGTCGGACAGCCATCCAATACGTCCCATGTGTCGAAGAATATTTGAATACCTCAATGGGTTCAACCAACCGTGAGTGGTTCTTACACCAGCGTCAGGCGAAGTCTGCGGTTGTTCAAAGCACATTTGTCGCCGCCTCCAAAAGTATTTCGCCACCACGACCCCAAGTGGCCAAAGAACCCAGTGGGACACCCTTCCCCATCGTCGGGGCTATTGGTGGGTGTAGAGGACGGCGTTGACGCCGAGGACGCAGCGCTGTCCGAAGCGCTCTCACTGCTGCTTGATGATAGCAATAAGTCATTCAACTCGCTGCCTTCTCCACTCGATCCCGAAGTGGTCGCCTTTGAGGATTCTTCCGACGTCGTTTTTGTCGACAGCTTCGCCATAGACGAAAAACCATCGCTACCCGAGTCGCTTTCGCTTGGGTACGGCAACACGTCGTCAAAGCTGCCTAATAAGTCACCCAGACCACTGCCACCCAGCGAATTGAACAAGGCATCCAGTTCACTGCCACTCAAGGAATCGAGTCCGAGGCCGCTCATATCAAAAAGTTCACTCAAACCACTACCGCTTGAAGACAGCAAGTTCTTCGATCCACTGTCATCTACGCTCGATTCTGACAACCGTTCCTCCGATCCACTAGCGTCGCGACTCGATCCATCGGCAGGCACGAATGTCTTCTTCTTTTTCGTAGCCGAAGTCTTCGTTGCTTGGGCCTTCATAGCCTTTGTAGGCTTCGAAGTGGCGAGAAACGAACTGCTTCCGCTACCAGAAGTAATGTCCGAGTTCCCTTTGTACACGCCGCTGTTTGACCCCGACGATGAAGCTAAGGCGTTTGTTTTCGTCACAGTCTTCGAAGCCACACGCTCTTCGTTGATGTTGCTGAAGGACAGCAGGTCGCGAGTGGTCTCTGCTGCAATGGGGTTGCTGGCCGCATACAGCGCAACCATCGTTATCATCATGACGTGGTTAAAGTGCATTTTTGTTTGACAAAATAACAATGTCTTGATGTCCGTGTGTTGCTAATGCTGGAATGGAAATTTCGAAGTGACGTCGAGCAAAGTGACCACGGTACCAATGTACTTTGACATACACGATTACATTTTCTGCGAAGGTCCGTAATCAATCGCAAAGGACAGGAAAAGTTGCCGGACGGATTTCATGTGTGTGTGTG